TGTACTGTGTACTCCTTATATTTTTAAAAAGACAAGAAGTAGAAAGTCGTTACTTTTATTTCATTTTTGCTTGTTTTCATTCCAGCTTGTTATTGTAAAAAAAAATAATACTATCCATATAAACTGTGCCTCCTAGACAGAGTGAATTTAACTGTGGTTGAATGAGAAGTATAAATATTTGTCACACTCCAGCAGGACATAAAAATACTGTACTTAAGAAGTATTTGTATTTCATGAATTTTATTATTGCATTTGGCTGCAGCCCTCAGACAGATTTTCATTTTGGAGAAAAGGTTTGGGCAGCCTTCATATATGTATATAAACTGAAACCGATTTGTGCATCCTAAATTAAAAAAATTAACTATTTTAATACAACAGTCATTTCTGTTTTGTTTTGGGGAGGTCACCTCCTAATAAATGTCATTACAGAACATCTAACTGCTCATTTTAAATCAATACTTTTACTTTTAATACTTAAGTACAAAAAATATCAGATACTTTAAGACTTTTACTCAAGTAATATTCCTAAAGGAGACTTTAATTTTTAACAAAGTAATGTTTTGGTAAGATACTTGTACTTTTACTCAAGTAATATTCCTAAAGGAGACTTTAATTTTTAACAAAGTAATGTTTTGGTAAGATACTTGTACATTTACTCAAGTTTCACTTTGTGGTATTTTATACAACACTGGATGTTCTAACAAGTTTCAAGTCAGAACCGACATCATTCTGACTTCAGAATTGTGAGTTTAGCTACAACTGCAATGCAACATCATTCAAAAACAAAAATGTGCACACAGCAAACTTTACAAGAGCAGTTTCTATTAATTACTGCTAGCAGTGCTATTCTTCATCAACCAGAACATTACCTAATGCCGCACTTTATTGTGCGAACTGAGACATTCATAAGCTCAGTTGAGCCACTACAGTAGAAAGCAGAACTGAATATTAGTTTCTTAGTTTTTTCATCTTCAGTGGCTTTTTTTAAAGAAGAAAAAGAGAAGAAAAAAGTGAAATGTAATGGGAAAGAGTGAAAGAGAGATTAGAAGATATGTAAAATATGTATGTGTGTGTTTATATA